GTAGCTTTGTGCTTAATTTCAAAACAAACTTATCAAAGTGAAATTATAGCAGTGAAACCGTAACGTTATTTTAAGAAAAAAAAGCCTTTTGCTAAATATTCGAGCTTAAAGTTTGAAGATTCGTCACTTTCTAATTCACTAGCATAAAATACCCACGTTCCGAGCTACGGTTTTCAAAGGTTTCCTAATGATTTACATAGGTCTCACTGTAACGATCAACCTTCTCAATTAACCACAATTACTTTTATAGCCATCAAAAGAGAGATTTGTACCCGAAACGTCTCCAAGTGGAACAGCGGATTTACAATGCTAAAATCAGAGGTTTGATACCCCTTGGTGTTCGTAGCAGAAAGCCCAATGTGGCTTTTCTATAAGAAAACGCACACAAGTTGTATCCAAAACAACAATACTTTATGACAATTTCCCGCGGTGCATGAGCAAGTAAACCAAATTTTCTCCCACTAGCTAATTTTAGGGGTATGGACACAGTTTCAAACATGTCGTCCCGGGATTAAGGAGGGGGGGGTCAAAACAACAAATCCGATGTTAGATTCAGGTTCAGCGATAATATAAACCTTCATCGTCCCTGGGTAACCTTACAGTGGCGCTTAACTTTTTTGGTTTGTTTGAATTTCGCGCAAAGCTACACGAGAGCTATCTGCGCTAGCCGTCCCTAATATAGCAGTGTAAGACTAGAAGGAAGGCAGCTAGTCATCACCACCCACCGCCAACTCTTGGGCTACTCTTTTACCAACGAATAGTGGGATTGACCGTCACATTATAACGCCCCCACGGCTGAAAGGGCGACCATGTTTGGTGTGACGGGGATTCGAACCCGCGACCCTCAGATTGCGAGTCGAGTACCCTAACCACCTGGCCATGCCGGGCCTAACTTTTTTGGTACCCCTTTGGTGGGGGAGCCTACGTCATACAGATAAGTATACCCCCGGACCTCTCTGATTCCACCTACCAAGGTTGATTCTGCTAACTCTGTAACTGAAGGAGGAGTAAGTTGGAAAAACATACATAAAAATATACAAGCTGAATTAATATAGGATTATCAAAGCAACTTCAAATCACACATAATCAATCAGTTATTACTGTTGTGAAGGTATATTATCTTAGTGTTTATTTATTATGTAAACGAACTGTTTCTCGAAGATTAAACCATTAATAAAAGTGAAAAAACTGCACGTTCATCTGAATAAATCCCTGATAAAACGTATATCTTAAAATATATTCCTGAGACAGCATAACATATAGCAACGTAACAAAGTGAAACAGTAGAATAGGCAAAGTTTATGCTTTTGAGTTCTTCTTCTTCTAACATTATAATAGTAGCTTTAATTGATCAATAACACTCTCGCAATCAAAAACAAGAATATTTACTCGCTTCTTCATTATTCTTATATTGATGTGTATCATGTTTCTCGATAAGCTATTAACATAATACTATCACTTATATTATGCTATATCGTAAGCTTATCTCTTCCTTTTTTTTTACAGTACAGGTCTTTAAAACCAATATAGTTTACTTTTTCATTATCGTTTAGAGAGAAATGGCGGTATTGGAAGAGGAAGTGGTGTCTATCACACAGCACACAACGGAAAAGGCAGACCACGTGAACCCCCCGGGCTACTCCCGACATCCTACGAAACCTCTTCAGTGTCTGTTGAATTGGTGAGTTTTCTTTGAAGTTTTACACAATAATACACACCAAAAGGGCTAGAAGTGTGTTGAAGTGAATTTACTTGTTAGCAGTTCAATTAGAAATACTGAAATGTCGCTCAGTAAGTGGAACAAAGAAAAATATTTTAAAAATTTCATTGTTTCCTCGTTGGTAACTTGACAACTTGCAAGATATGTTTCAAGCTTAAGAATAAAAATGATAATAATAAAATGCGTTAATTTAATTAATTAGTAGTGACCAAGTTATTTCAGTGTTAGCATTATATATTCACCAAATACAGTTCGTTTATCATATGTAGATGTGTAAGTATGACAATGTATAAACATTTCCATATGTTTCAAAGATTGTTAACACTAAAAATGAATAAATATAGCAAATATACAGAGCGTCCTCTCAAATTCTCATTATATATATATATATATATCAGCTGCTTCCTAGATTTTTTTAAACATCATTTAGTTGACTTGTAACAAATAAAGCGAAGTTAATTTAAAAGTTTTAACAGTTATCGGTAGTCAATGTGTTACTTTACTTTAACCCAAGCAGCTCCTATTTTTACCGCAACCACTGACAGGTAAAAATATATTTTTTCTGCTTATCAGCTGAGTTGTCATTAACCCGAGTCTTCTAAAAATGACCGTGAAAATTTAGAAACTTGCAACCATTGTATCAAGTGCTAACACACAATTTTACGTGTTACTTTTTTTTTCTTCCTAGCAGATTGAATGGTTCTTCCGAGTATATACACGATATTTTATAGCGCACGTTAAGAAAATCGATGAAGTTTGGTGCAAGAGTTAATGGAATGACTTGTTTATTGCAGTAGACGCTGGATATTCCGAAACTCTTGACTAACGAATTTTAAAACGTTGTATCTTCTGTAAATAAAACCCTAATGCTTCAAATGCATCTTTTCAGATAACCATATACTTGTAGAATATGAACGTGTTTTGCTCAACTTCTCAATAGAAACATTTTTAGTGTTTTAGGATAATCATATACGTTGCTCGCGTTCTTCACAACTCTAAGGTAACTTATTGCCCCCCACCCCCAGTGGCATGTTTTGAATTTTTATGAAACCTTTCGAATAGCTTCCAATCAAATGTAACATAGAAATGTTGATTCAAGTAATTTTGTTTCAGTCTCTTACTTGTTGATAATATTCGTCTTACTATAATGAACGAAGCGTGTATGTCAGTATCTATGTTTGTAACCAAAACTCCTGCGCCATCTATTGGATGGCACCACAAACAAACATCCATAAAAAAATTCACACTATGGGTATTCAAGATTCAGACAATTAGAAAATTAACTACGGTGTGTGCAACGACCATTTCTTTATCACAGAACACAATTTTAAACAAAAGTATTCTCCTCACAACAAGAACACGACTTTCACTAGGACTGTACGTGAGGGTTGGATTATATCTTTGTTGATGTAATTTTTAAATGTAGTACTTAGAAACTGGAGCTCTTAAAAGAGTATTATTTTTTCAATAAAGGTTAGGACTTTTAATATATAGAAACATTATATCAATAACGTTTATGATTTTTTTTTTGTACAGTGAATCAATTTGATGCAGTGAGTTGCGAATGACTAAAGAGAACAATCCGAACACTTTTCCCATGCAGCGCTTCCTAGAAAAAAAAATAATTTTTTTAGAAAATATTAAATTTTTCTAATTTTTTTTTTTTTTTTTTTTTTTT